ACTTGGGTTTCCTACGGCACCAACATGGCTGAGCTTGAGGAATACCCTTCTTAGGAATAACATATCACATTTAACATAGAGTATAACCAATAACAGTACACAATTATAGATTAGAAACATTCAGGACTTTAATCTGAGGATGGTAACAATGCTCTTGAACCTCCCCCTGTAAAGGACAACACCTAGTTGCAAAGCCAAAGTGTCTTTTATGGAGAGATGTCCTCTTATTGGAGAGTGTCAAAATAGTAAAAGTCTTAATTTTACAAATGAAAACTGTCCTTTGTAGAGAGTTGTCCTCTAGTGGGAGTGTCCTCTCATGGAGGTTGTACTGTAATAACAAAATCTACCCCCACTTGCCCAAAATGTAGCTTGGCACCTGCAGCTCCAGAACACATTTTGGCTTGCATTAGATGTACTAAACAGGACCTTTGGGAGAGGCCATTGCTTATCATAAAAGAGCTTGAGAGGCATGAACTCATGGAATTCCTGTAATCTTTACACAAGGGGATAAGAAGCAACAACAATTAGTGAAAATGGTTATTTTGGCGATGAAAACTATCCTTTTAGTGGAGTACAATATTTCTCCTCGCAGTATGGATACAGTTTGTTTCATTTGATTTTAAAAGAAACATTTGTGCTTCATGATATTAAATTTCTTATAGAATAGAACAATCTCCATCTCTGAACATCAGAAATAGACAGCATCAAACAACACTAACAAGATTTAGAACAGGCCATCTCAAGCCATTGAAGATAGAAAATAATAACAAAATTTATCCCACTTGCCCAAAATGTAGTTTGGTACCTGCAGCTCCAGAACACATTTTGGCTTGCATTAGATGCACTAAACAGGACCTTTGGGAGAGGCCGCTGCTCATCATAAAACAGCTCGAGGAGCATGAACTCATGGAATTCGTGTAATCTTTACACAAGGGGATAAGAAACAACAACAACACAATCTCCAAGAGAGGATACTCACGCTAGAGAACACCAGTCTACAAAGGACAGTTTACATGGCCGTAATGATCCTTGTTACTATTAAGCAACTCTCCAGTAAGAGGATACCTCTCCCTAAAGGGCACTTTGGTTCTGCAAATACACTCATGGCTAAAATTTAAGGAAGTGGAAAGTCTTTGATGCCGCCAGTCATTTTTTTTTTTTTTTTCAAGAAAACAGAAACAATTTTATTCACGCATGGTTATCTTGTGTGTCTTCAAGAGAGGCCACTGTAATATTTTTCAGAGTTATTATTCCAATATACATGGTAAAAGGTACAACTTCCTTAAGTTTTGTCTATGAGTGTATACCAGAATTATCAAAGGCACAGTTAGATAAGAGTCAAATTGGTTATAATGGTGAGAGGTGGAACAAGACATGTAAGTAGACGACAGTTACCTTTGACGACGTACTCTGGAGCCTTGTTGAGCGGAGGCATGGTTTCTGTATTGTAGTCATCCATTTGGGAGCTCTTGTTGTTGATGGGCTGCAAGCAGGCAGTGGGTAATGTCAGATCTGTAATGCAGTCAACGGTCAATAGCAGCAGTACTTACCCAGTTTTTGATGCTGGACTCTGTGGTTGCTACCCAGAGGGAGGACTGATCTGGGGATAGAATCATCTGCCAACACAGACACACATGGGTCACCAAAGACACACAAGATTTAGATTATGCAATAGGGGTAGGTGGAAGAATGGTCTAAAACAACCCGAGTTCGATTTCCGCATTGAGCACTTTTTTTATTAAAAAAAAAAAAAAAAATTCTCCAATGGCCTTTCGATTCTTGCTAAAGTCCAACCCCACCAGCGAGTACAAGTAACCAAAAGAAGCTCTGGCACATTTGTATGTGTAAAGTCGAACTGCTTTTCACATGTGTAGACATGTGGTGCACTTACAGTAAAAAGCAGTCGCCTACTTTTCTACCCACCAGGATTATTATGGCCCGTACCATGTGTACTAGGGGAGATAAGTCAGAAAAAAAAATGCAATAACAAGGTAATGAGTTCAATCCAAATAGAGTAGAACTACCTCTCTCTCTAAAAAACAAAACTTAATTTTCAGAACCAAAGTAGATAGAGGTGTCCTCTTATGTTCTATATTAAAGGAAACAGTGTCGAATACTTCCACTCTCAACCTACCTGTACTTTGTCTGTTTGAATGTTTAAAAAATAAAGGCACAGAAGGGGTGCACACCATATTTCTGCTTACACCCTCCTCAGATTCATCAGTAGAAGAAGAAGATACAGTAGAACCTCCCTGTAAAGGACAACACCTAATTGCAGAACCAAAGTGTCCTTTAAAGAGAGGTGTCGTCTTACCAGAGAGTTTCTAAATTGTAAAAATGGTCATTTTGAAAACTGTCCTTTATGGAGAGGTGTCGGCCAAAGGGAAGTTCTAGTGTATGAGACAAGAGCAGATAGAAAGAAGGGAAAACAAGATTCCTTATCCTCACCTTGAGAATGGGAGCCTCCTCCTCGCAGACTAGAACCCTGTTGTCGGGATTGCGGAGATCCGTCATGTAGATGCGTTTGTCCCTGCCTCCTGAGTAAACTGTGGTGAAGGCTTCATTGGCCTGAACAACAACAATGACGTGGAGAGAGCCTGCGCGGGACAGAGGTAACTTACCTGTAGAGCCCACACCCCTTCCTCATGAACCCTGATGTTGGCGACGTACCGCTGCTGGCCCAGGGACCACAACCTGATGGTACCATCTGAACTACCGGATATTACCTGCCACCACCATCTTGGTTACATATACAGTAGATATACCGACAATCCTGCGTAAACATTATATTGTAGAGAAATATTTAGCATTGTGAAAAAAATAGTACTATTGTGTATTTGCATACTTGGGATATTTGCTGATATGCAAATATCCTCTTTGCATACTCATTTCTGACTTCATGTAATAAATAGCGCTACAAGTTGTTAGCAGGCAGTCAAGTCAATTTATGTAATAAAAGAGATTACGGGAGTCCGTCTTTGCCTCAGCCTCGACACCTCACACTTGGCTACCTCCCACCTTCAAGGATAGAACAAGTACAAAAGTGAAAATTCAATAAAATAATCCCTTGTATTGTGTAAAATATATCTCCAGGGAAAAGTATCTTTTCAAAACACACAACACTTTCGGGCATGAACGCCCTTCTACAGGAGAAAAACCTATATTTTTACTCAACAAAAGTGAAATTGTACTGTGATCAGAGGTAGATAAATTAAGAAAAAAGGCATCTCCTGATTGTGCAACTAAAAGTTTCTGATGTCTTGTGTCATCTGCAGGAATAAATATATCAACTTATTCCAAAATTGATCAAATACTTATTCTTGATTAATCAAGGATCTGTGGCCCAATTCTGGAATAAATAAAAAATCAATGAATTGTTGATATTTATTCTAACAGATAGCAAAAGCCATTAGTAACTTTAAGTTGGAGGAGATGGTGTCTTTTTCTTAATTTATATTTATTGAGATATTTATATCATTAGACACTTAGAGTAGAGACAGTCACCTACTCCTACCCACCCATGTTATCATGGGCCTGTACCATGTGTACTAGGGATAAGCACACAAAAAAAAAAAAGATGGTGTCTGTACTGGGGATGAGTAGAGCACATCAATGGATGAGTCAATACAGTCAATAATATGCATTTAATGCAAGGTTTTCTCACTATGTACTAAGTGCAATTCTCAGCGTGCAACCCCAAGACATATTATTGACTGTATTGACTCATCCATTGATGAACTCTACTCTTCCCCGGCAGACACCATCAAAAATCTCAAGCTTTACAAGCTTGATACCTTAGTGTGATTGAGTGGAGATAAGAAAGAAGAAGAAGATATGTATTTAAGTCGACTTAATTTAAATAGGTAGGTATTGGATTACTAGAGTTGTTGTTTCATATCCCCCTGTATAAAGATTACATGAATTCCATGATTACTATAGAGTAGGCCTACCTGAGTGCCCTCCCGGTTGATAAGGAGGGACTTGACATTGTCCGTATGGCCCCGGAGCTTCATCAACTTCTGACAAGTCCGGGGGTCCCAGACCCTGAGGAGTTTCTCCGTAGACCCGGAGACAATGACGGTGCCTGGTGGGTTCATCACTAGGCTGTAGATGCTGTCCTTATTGCCCGTCAAACTGGATGCTGACAAAAGGACAACCATTATAGTTTCCACAAGTTAATTAACTACATTACAACAACTACATACAGTTAAACCTGTCTATGGGGGGTCGGTGGAAGGCTGGTTAAACCGTTTGGTTTTCGACCACTACAACCCGGGTTCGATTCCCGCATTGGACACTTTTTTCAGTTTAAAAAAATAATGCTCCAATGGCCCCCGATTCTTGCAAAAGTCCAACCCCACCAGCGAGTGCAAGTAACCAAACGGGGCTCTGGCACATTTGTAAGTGCAAAGTCGAACTGCTTTTCACATGTGTAGACACGTGGTGCGCTTACAGTAAAAGCAGTCGCTAACTACCCACCATGATTATCATGGCTTTGAGATAAGAAAGAAGAAGAAGAAACCTGTCTATAGCTCCCCCTCTAAATAGCGCCTTCCACTCTATAGCGCCCGATTTTAAACATTAAAATGTAAACATTTAACATTTAAAGTAACCTGTCTATAGCTCCCCTTCTCTATAGCACCCTATTTTGGTGAGTACCAAGAGGGGGCGCTATAGACAGGTTTAACTGTATATGCATACAATATGTATTAAACAAGGTAATAAAACCAAATACAAATAAATAAATAAATAGTGTGTGACATTTCGGTAACAGCGTTGTTACCGAAACATCACACACTATTTATTTATTTGGATTTGGTCATATTACCTTGTTTTTATAATCTATAATCCAAATTGTGCCTTATCAATATGCATTAAATGAATGTGTTCCAAAAGAACAACCATTAGTTACAAGTTAATTAACTACCGACAAACAAAATTGGGGGATGTAGAGGTAAAGAAGTTTATTTATTTACTATCCCATGTACCTAAAGAGTCTCTCCCACGTAGTCTAGTGGCTAGGATACCTGGCTCTCACCCAGGTAGCCAGGGTTCTATTCCCAGCTAGGGATTTTTTTTTGGATAAGACACCACCACTAAAAGAGGCTTCCTTTAAATATGCATTAAAAGAATATGTGACAAAAGAACAACCATATTTCCTACATTTCAAGTTGATTTATTACTAACAAGCAAATATTGGGGGGTGTATAGGGTAAGTAGTTTTTTTGTCTTCAAACATACCATGTACCAAAACCAATGCATTAAAAGAATATGTGACAAAAGAACAACCATATTTCCTACATTTCAAGTTGATTTATTACTAACAAGCAAATATTGGGGGGTGTATAGGTAAAGTGTTTTTTTTTTTGTCTTTAAACATACCATGTACCAAAACCAATGCATTAAAAGAATATGTGACAAAAGAACAACCACCAATTATCATATTTCCTACATCTTAAGTTTAGTAATTACTGACAAGCAAATATTGAGAGGTGTGTATAGTTAATTAAGCATTTTTTTTTTTAACATCCCATGTACCAAAAAAGGCATACTACCCTTTAAATATGCATTAAAATAATGCATTATAAACATAAGGTAACAAGAGACCAAATCCAAATAAATAAATAGCGTGTAAAGAACAGCATTGTTACCATCGTCAGACAAAAGTACTGAATGATACCTTATACTTCTCTATTCTATAATCCAAAATTGTACCTCATCAACAACATTATATTTATAATCCCAGTAAACAAACTTGAGAGTGTTAATAAAGAATGAGTCAAAACACCAGTTTTGGCAAATTCAGACAAACCTATATACCATTGTCTGAATTTGTCATAAGTTGCATTGGAGTTCATTCTTTATATAACGCAGCCTCATATTTTTTTACTTGGGTGATCTTCTTCTTTCTTATCTCCACTCAATCATATTAGGGTATCAAGCTTGTTTGACAACCATCATGACTGGGTGAAGTAGAATGTGTCTACCTTTGTCATTAAGACTGGGAGCACTACTCAGTGGCAGGCTGACTTAGCTCCAAAAGAAATGGCCACTTCTGACATGAGGAACAGATGCCATGTGCAGCCTCTCCTAACATGGAGTACAAACAATGCTCATCCTGTATCCCTGGATTAGGAGCCCTTACAGGGTACTATCAGCCAGGCCAACTGAACCCAGGTTTTTTAGTGAGCTTGTTACTGCTCCCCCTCCTCCTTTTTCATCAGGGCTTGGGACCAGCAAAGGCGGAGTTTCTAGGGTGATAAATATAATGAATTATTTTAAGGGAATATTTAAAGGGAGAGGTGCCTCCATTGGTACAAATTATTATATGCAGAAAAAACATTCCTCGCGGTTCATATTACTTGTAAATTATAGTGTTGCAAATTTTTGTCATCTTCTAAAATACAGTAGAACCTCCATGAGAGAACACCTCTCTAAAAGAACAATTTTTATTGAAAAAAAAAAACATTTTTACTAATTAGTAACTCTCCAGTAAGAGGACACCTCTACCTAAAGGACACTATAGATCTACAACAAGGTCCTTTACAGAGAGGTAGTTCTACTGTATATAACCTATGCTACAACTCCGCCCTTGCTGGTCCCAAGCCCGGATGAAAAAGGAGGAGGGAGAGCAGTAACAAGCTTGCTAAAAAACCTGGGCTCAGCTGGCCCGGCTGATAGTACCCTGTAAGGTCTCCTGATCCAGGGATACAGGATGAGCAGCGTTTGTACTCCATGTTAGGAGCGGCTGCAAATGGCGTCTGTTCCTCATGTCAGAGGCGGCCATTTACTTTGGAGCTAAGTCGGCCTGCCACTGAGTAGTGCTCCCAGTCTTAATGACAAAGGCAGACGAATTCTACTTCACCCAGTGTGGAGATAAGAAAGAAGAAGAAGACCTATGTTACTGTTATAGCCACAGTTAAAACAACTGGGACTTAAAACTTGGTGGGACTTTAGAATAACCAATATTGGGATATAACCAGGTTATAATTATAACCAAAGAGTTGAAACAAGTGGAACACTGGAACATTAGAAATAAGATGTTATTACACAACCAAGTTGCTGTTATAAAGAAAGCTGTTATTGTAACAAGATTCCACTGTAGCAACAGAAATAAATTAAACATATTGCCACGTGGAAAATTAGGGAAGACAAAAACTTCAGGAGGAAACAAAATTTATTTCAGGGAAGGACAAACTATCAAAGGTAAACAAAAGATAAGCCACGAGGGAAATTTACAGAGTCGCAAGATATAAAACATAAAAATGACCACTCTGTTAAATAAAAAATAATAAAATTAATAAATACTATGTTACATAGCTTCTTCCCTATGGGAGCTGTGACCCACAGCTAGCAATTATTGTAGATACTGATGTGGATTTGACGTGCTTCTGCCAAGGATTCCATCGAAGTCTTGGAACTTTGTCCCTAGTACCTTTGCGTCCATTTTCTTGCGGCGTGAAGAGCGGCTTTGTCGTCGTATCGTCGTCTATAGGGACATCGTCATCTTGGAAGGAAGTCTTGGCTTTGACACGGCGGTGGAATCCTGGAGCCAGTCTCTAAAAATGTAGATCACAGCACCCATGGCTTCAAATTCTTCTCGGCCATCTTCAGTTTGTCTTCCCTAACTTACCCAGCATTTCCACCAAAATGCCACGTGGAAAATTAGGGAAGACAAAAACTTCAGGAGGAAACAAAATTTATTTCAGGGAAGGACAAACTATCAAAGGTAAACAAAAGATAAGCCACGAGGGAAATTTACAGAGTCGCAAGATATAAAACATAAAAATGACCACACCACTCTGTTAAATAAAAAATAATGAAATTAATAAATACTATGTTACAATATTGTCACTGTATAATATTTGCATATATATTTCAATTCATCATGTAAATTTTTATATAATAATTAGTATGTAAATAGTAGCCAAAATTGTCTATATAAAAGAAGCTTGAAGTCAATAAAATTGATAAGGCACAATTTGGATTGTAGAATGGAAGAAAGAGGAAATATAAATGATATATAATTACAAAACTATTTTAGAGGCGTAATATTCTTTTTAAAATAAAACAATTTCTACTGTCCTTACTGCAATGGAAAAATTAAAGGGAGGGCCTGGCCCTCCCTTTAATTTTTCCATTGCAGTAAGGACAGTAGAAATTGTTTTATTTTAAAAAGAATATTACGCCTCTAAAATAGTTTTGTAATTTGATAACAGATGGCGCGCAATTGCACATAAATGATATTTATAGATATGCTTTTAATTATATTTGAAAAAACTTTTAATTCTAAGAATAATATTCATCATGTGTTTATCTCATCTGTTTATCAGATAAATATCTTCTTATCTGTTATCTTGTTTACACACTTGATAACAATAACTATTTAAACCATGCTGTGGTAAAATTTTCTCATTCAGTACTTTTGTCTGAAGATGGTAACAACGCTGTTATCGAAACGTCACACACTATTTATTTATTTGGATTTGGTCTTATTACTTTGTGTTTATAAAAGAAGCTTGACATGTGAGTAGAATAAACTTTCAATAGAAAACTACCGTTCACGTGATTGCTAGTACTTATTTTACATCCGTGACAATATATTACAGTAGAACTACTGTTTTGTAAAGGACAACACCTAGTTGCAGAGCCAAAGTGTGCTATAGAGTGAGATATGTCCTGCTGATACCAGAGAGCAGCAGCTATTTGGTAAATTTTTGTCATGAAAACTGTTCTTCTTCTTTCTTATCTCCACACTGGATGAAGTAGGAAGCGTCTGCCTTTGTCATTAAGACTGGGGGCACTACTTAGTGGCAGGCCACTGACTTAGCTCCAAAAGAAATGGCCGCCTCTGACATGAGGAACAGACGCCATGTGCAGCCACTCCTAACATGGAGTACAATCGCTGCTCATCCTGTATCCCTGGATTAGGAGCCCTTACAGGGTACTATCAGCCGGGCCAGCTGAACCCAGGTTTTTTAGTGAGCTTGTTACTGCTCCCCCTCCTCCTTTTTCATCCGGGCTTGGGACCGGCAAGGGCGGAGTATAATACTGTTCAATTATTAGATGTCTGCTCATAAGAGGTTTTCTTACTGTAATTCAGTGAGGGGGGAATAGGGGAAAAAAATAAAGCATAGGTAAAAAAAAAATCAATAGAAAACAGAAAATACACGTTAATATGAGAATAGGTGAAAAAAGGATATAAAATATATTGGAATGCCAGCAGCTTGTTGGTGTTGGTTTAACTGTGGTAATACAACCAATCAATAGAAAACAGAAAATACAGGCTAATAAGAGAACAAGTGAAAAATAAACAAAAGGTAATAAGAGAGAGAGACCAAAATGTATAAACACACACTATTTTTAAAATTTTACACAAATAAATTTACTGGCAATGTGTTTCTTTTTAAATATCATCAAATATTATCTCTACAGACCTTACTGCAATGATATGAGTTGTTGAATGAGAGGGCTTGGCTCATCAGTAGTGAATTTGGCGAAACCGCTGAGAGGGTTCACTACTGATGAGCCAAGCCCTCTCATTCAACAACTCATATCATTGCAGTAAGGTCTGTAGAGATAATATTTGATGATATTTAAAAAGAAACACATTGCCAGTAAATTTATTTGTGTAAAATTTTAACGATAGATGGCAATAAAATTTAATTTACACACTATTTTATTTGGCCTTATTACCCCTTGTGTTTATAATCTATAATCCGAATTGTGCCTTATCAAATCAAACAAGTGAAAAGATATTGGAATGATGAAATAAAAAGACAAGCAGTCTGGTGTTGGTATAACTGTAGCAAAACATCCAATCCATAGAAAAGAGAAAATACAGGCTGCTAAGTGAATAAGTGAAAAGATAATGATTAAGATATGATGAAAGACAGCAGTCTAGTGGTGGTATAACTGTGGCAAAACATCCAATCCATAGAGAACAGAAAATACAGGCTGCTAAGTGAATAAGTGAAAAGATAATGATTAAGATATGATGAAAGACAGCAGTCTAGTGGTGGTATAACTGTGGCAAAACATCCAATCCATAGAGAACAGAAAATACAGGCTG